GGCCTGAGTCCAACCACACTGACAGTTCAATCAGATAGGCCTGAATCCTGCAATGTCTTTATCCAAGGCAATCCAGTACATAGTTCTCACCAGGCTGTTTGAGCGTAGGGGCCCCCTACGCTGTGATTTTGACCCCCTACGCTGTGATTTAGCCTCCTACACTGTGTTTCAACCAGCGTAGGGGTGGTTTTTGGGGGCAGAAGCTTCATCTTTAAAAAAATGAAAATATAACTTAAGAATGAAGCTATAACAGAGGGAAAACAAAATCTGTCCCCCAATAAACAATAAATAGTGTCTTAAGTGGTTAATATGAGTTACAGAATTTTTGGGAGAGAATATCAGGCCCATGTTTTGGGGACTCGGTGCGTGACTCGCGCCGCAGAAAGTTGCCCTTCTATACCTGACCCCTACGCTGTGAAAAAATCCTGGTGAGAACCCTACAGTATATAAATTATTGTTTATCACTTGTTACAGTGGCTTGTGTGGCAGCAGTTATGACAATCTACATGTTAAACTTTACCTGTGGTGTCCAGGTCCAGTGTCTATGTTGTTCCTGTGTACCCCTTACTTGTTGAAGTTGTCCAGACATGACATACTAGTATACAACTTACAACAGTCTCCCAACAACCCTTTTGTTGATCACAACAGTGCAGACCTTAAGGCAATCCTTGACCTCAGTAATTGTTTATCACATGCAGCCACAATGACAGTTCAGACAGGTGTGAATCCTGCAACATCACTTGTTACAGAGGCTTGTGTGACAGTAAGAAGCTTTCATCACAATGTCCTTAGCTTGGTGGCAGCAGTTCTGAATATGATAATCTACATGTTAAACTTTACCTGTGGTGTCTAGTTCCAGTGCCTACACCCCCAGTATATCCTTACTTGTTGAAGTTGTCCTGACATCACAGCCTACAACAATCCCCTAACAAGTTAAACAGCCCCACCGGGATTGGCTTTTGTTGATGCCACAGGTTAATTATGAATTACAGCAGCCTGTAACAACCCCACATCACACACAGGATAGCTTTTTGTTGATCACAACAGACCAGACCTGAGCATCCTTGACCTCAGTAATTGTTGTCACACGCTGAAATGTCAGACAAGACAATTGGTCGGAAGTCACATGGAATACCCCACATGCCGCCACACCCTACTGTATATGTCCGGCCTTTCCATATCAACTACCTGTTGCCTGGGTAGGTATGGCCATTCAAATCTTATTTGTCAGTTCTTGCTTTTTTTAACAAATTATATGAAGTAGAAAATTAAACCAGGCCTATAGGCATCCTATGATAGCCTCAAATACTACCATGGCCTAAGGAAAGGTGCCATGAAGTTACATACCAGGCTGGTTTGAAATTCATCAAACAATGAAGTTTACACTTTTCATCAAACCAAGTTGCATTGATAGAAACTGTAACGTATGAAGGCAAGGACTTTCTTCAATTGCTGGGGCCAAAATATGAACATTTTTAGTTGATTCAGATCAGAGCCTGACTTTTTCTTCAAATCAGAAAAAAATGAAACATTTAATTATCCGAGATTTATTGTTTAAATTGGTATGGCCGGATCACACCAAACTTGCAGTTTGTAGGAAAGAGAGGAGAGGAGGGCAGAATAACATGTGACAAGTAAAAACACATTCCTGGCCTGACTCACTGTGGAGCTGATATCCTTACAACTGGCACAGTGCCAAGTTCACACACAAACAACAGGAGCAGGCCTTGGCTACACAGCCTTGTACTTGTACATGAATACATACATTAATTGTAATGATAGTAACCACCATATATAATATAGCGACTCATGCTGCTTACCAGCAAAACAATATCTCCCGCAGAATAACATTACCAAAATCTCCTGTATATCAGCCTTGGTCACACTTATCTCCAATAACCTTGGTCAGAAGTAGACAGATCTTAGCCTCTACCAGGCACTGGGGATCGCTGGAAATATAGTAGACTCAGATTGGCCAAAATAAAGGAAATACTATACCAGGGGAGTTGACAAGCCAGAGTGACCCACCTACATTGTATAGTATTCCTCTTATTTTGGCCAATTCCTACTATTATCCCAGCAAACCACTGTGCCTGGTAGAGGCTAGACAGATCTTTAAATATCTGGACAGGAATCATTGTCACTAAAAAACTAACCTTGTCCTTCAGACTGTCCTGACTCGTAGTGAAGCTTTTTACTCAACTGTGTTCCGTAATGTGACCTCTGACCTGTGCCTGATAATCCTCCAGGCCACACCAAATTAGTTTATTGGTTCTCAGATTTAAATTTAAAATAAAACTGGAAGATCAACATAAGAACTTGTAGGGAAAAGTCTGTACCTTGATACAGTGTTTTAGGGTGTGAAAACATCAGTGGTCAGATTCACGGTTTTTGTTTAGCCTTGAAGTTGACCTTTTGCTGAATTTTGAATTAGATTTTATTTCAAATTGTCCTAGAACCAAGTTACCCAATAATGAGTGGCAGATTGCAGCACAGATGTTGTTTCAGGGTTTGTTGTTATAATCTCATCTGATCCATCAATCAATGGCACCAGAGCTGGCACAGAAGGGACAAGCTGAGTGACATGCTGATATAACAACATCCTCTACATAATACATTACACTGCTGTGGTCAGAGTAATTTCACAACATTCTAGCAGTCTTTTAAGAACTAGAGTAGAAACAGAAAGATACTCCTGGTCCCGGGCCGGGGATCGAACCCATGCCAAACCCGGGCACCAGCTTACATGTACAACCCGACACTCTAACGATTCGGCTAAAACTTCAAGTAAAAGGTCTAGACCTACCACTGGATCGGTTGGTAGCGCCTATAAACCCCCAACTGTTACTGTCTGACCAACACAAGTAGTTCAAGTGCTGCTAAAAAGTTAGATTGGCCTAATACAGAAAAGTTGTAACACAAGAGTTGGACTAATACAGTACATATATAATTATAATATAGCCAGAGATCTACATAGCACCAAGGAATCCCCCACTTCTATAGACCAAATTGTCATTTTTACTTACCGCTATGTTGGAAATTGCAGCTCATAATGAAATTCTACCGACTCAGATTAACTTTGCTGATAACAGCATCAAGCATGGATACAAGCAAAGTGCATAAACATACACATGTAACCAACCTCCCAGATGTAACAGAACCTATTGTGTACATGTCAGCCTCCCAGATGTAACACAACCTATTGTGTACATGTCAGCGATGAAATATGTCAGTAACTTAAGGACCACACCCTTATGTTAATCATAATGTTTTTGCAGCCCACACCATACAGTGTACATGACCTGCCCAGGCAAAGTACCAATGTATGGTACATTGCCAGCAAGTCTGCCCTTTGGCATAATAATTGTTTTATTGCAAATTCATGCCTAATTGCTAATTGCAAGTACAGAAGAAACATTTGGCAAGTACATAAGAACAGGCAAATTAATACACAAAGAACTACTGCTAAACTCCTAAAAGCTACTGGGTTTGACTTCTTTTTCAAATAATCAAAGCTTAAATCTTAGCATAACAAACTGTTCATGTGTAGGTAGGGAGGAAGATATTCCATTAGGCTATTATCTAACAATCACACAGCCAGCGGCATTTCACTTCAGTGTACTGTCTAAATATCTACATCTCCTAATTTCTGAAGAGTGTTAAAAGTTGCTTGGAGAGGGTAAAAAAGAAGACGATGCAGTTGAACAAAAGTGTGACAGACATGCATAAATCGTGGTTAGGTGTTGGGTGTTAAAAACAATAAGATTGGCAAACAAAAGACTGAATAAATAAACTAAATAAACTTGCTAAGATTGACACCTGATAACAGGTAACAACCCGTGAATAACACAATGCATTGTCTCTGTTCAGGTGTGTTCTTTAGATGTCTTTTGAATAAGAATAGAGTCTGGACAAAAAAGTTCCTGTGTCTTTGTTGTTCTAAGAAAACTTACGAAGACTAGAACATGAAGCAAGTGACACAGGGAACTCCTACTGTACCAGTATGACATCACATGTGACCTTTACTCCATAATTTGCACCAGCCACATGTGACTGTTTAATACATTTCACCAGAATCTTTGGCTGCTGAATAAATACATGGAGTAGAATTTACTAGAAATTGGCAATTTGTGATCACAAATCTGTTATTCTTCTATTGCTGGTTAAACCCTTTTGGCAAATAAGTTGGTCAACATTTGGCTAATTCCTACTTCTTTTTTTACCAACCCTACGAGTAGCTATATAAACATGATGAAAATTGATCCAAAAAATGGCAAATAAAACTCACACAGAGAGATGCCAACTTTACTAAATACATACTGTATGTAGTGAGTTTACCATTAGGGAATTAGATGTTGGATCACTACACAAACATGTTTAACTAAACAAACATCAGCACAATTGTGCCAGGTTTTAGCTAATTTGCTGCGGCAATTTGCATGACAAATCTCCTCTCCTCCCTCCAAGCAGACGTGGGGTGGAAGATCGTAACCTTTCTGAGTGGACTAATCTCCAAGCAGATGTGGGGTGGACAGGATGTTTCCTGAGCAGCCCTCTACCCTTGAAAAGCCTGCTGGTTGGAGACAAGTGTCCACCCCCACTTCTCAACTAGTGTGATACTAGTACTGGATAACACCCCTTGGTGTAAAGCTTGTGAGCAGAAACAGGAAAACCCCTGACTCCCGGAATGCCAGGGCAGGGATCGAACCCACGTCAAACCCGGGCCGCCATCTTACAACACCAGCATGCTAACCGTTAGGCAAAAAGGTCCAGGACACATCAGACTGGGTTAGTTAGCGGTGCTTTTACCCCACTGTAAGACTGGGACAGTACTACACTACACCACTGTAACGTTACTGCACTTGTGTGACCTTGTGAGAACAAAACCAGCAGCCCAGTGGAACAGCTGGTGTACCTAAACAACTGTAACTGCTTGGTTTTAGAATAAATTATTATTTATGATTAACGATAAAAATTAGACTTCTAACCGGCATCTGTAACACGTACGGTGAACACTGGATAGGAAATACTAGTACATGTAGCTGTAAGGCAATATAATAATTTGCATAAGAGTAGTCCAGCGGTCTGAAACTCGTCCCCGCTATGAAATTATGATGCTCCATGCACGGGACCAAGCAGCTCTTTCGGCGCAGTGGCGACGCTAAAGCAGTAGTAAGCACTCCACCGTTAGGCTGGCGAAATAAATGATACCGGTACAGAAAGGAAAGCCCAATAAAAACGGCCACAAAGACGTCAAAAAACAAGCCAAGAGACCAAACCTCTACTCGCGGTCAGACCTTCTGATAACCGTCCCGCCCTTGGCCCGATCCCGACATGGGACGTTTTTACTTACACGATTCCCCCGGAAAACGCGTCGTCTGCTCCGCTTTCCCGCGCTTTCTGTACGTCCATCTTTTACACCAGACGGTAACCCACACCTCCCGACAGCGCACGCATTCGGCACGATCTTCTTCTGACCGACAGATTCACGCGAAACTTTCAGAAGTTCTTCAATAACTTTCAACAAAACAGGCCCTGTCCTCCGTCTTGTCATCTGAGTACTGTACAACATCCAAACGTTAACAGTATGTTATTTATTAGACAGTCGAGCCGTGACGCAGCACAAGAAGCAAAACAAACAAAAAATAATGAAATAATATGTTCTTTGATTAATGTGAAAATACTTTGTTTACGAAGACTATAGATGTTTTACGTGTAAAAGAGAGAATACGTATGTTAGCGTTTTGCTGCGGTCTAGGTTCGGCCCGCTTGCTGAGGGGGTCGCCTGCACGTGGGGTCATTGACCCCGAATTTGGCGCGAACAACAACAACAAATCCCGAAACCCACGGCCGATGTGCTAGTAGCCTGCTAGTAGCAAAATGGACACGTATGTAGTATAAGATTAATCGAGGGAATGTTAGTCTCGGAAAGCACACTGAAATTGTGACTGCCTAGACAGGATACCGAGCCTTTTTAATTACAGATCATTGCACTTGTGGGATAGTCATGGGGCAGGATAGCCGCGGCGACTATTGCAGGGCTTCTCTTGCTTGCAGTCTTTAATGTAAAAGACTGGAAGCAAGAGAAGCCCTGCAACAGTCGCCGCGGCTATTAAGGCAAGAGACAACCGTAGTCAAGCTAGCAGACACCCTGCCTGTCATTGCAACATCATCTCTGCTACAGAAACTGCTATCATAAAGCAGGGAAGGAGTCAAACAATACCCAAAGTGTAACGTCCATGTGCCATGTGTCATCTCTGTGTATCAAATGTTTGATACAAGCTGATACCACGCATGTAGCAGCTTGTACAAGCGCCCTCTGGCGGGAGCTCTAAGCAAACCCACCTAGTCGTTTAAAACGACACGAGGGACAAAATACGGCAGTATAACGAATTTTGAATTGCTTGATGGGTGAAAACATACAAACAACTCAACAGTGACATAAAATGAAGTCTCAAAGGGCTTTTTAATCCGACCACAGAAGAGGTTTTCGTTGTTATTTTTTCTTAGGAAAGAAGGAAATTTTGCAACCATATGTAAGGCAATGAATTTATTTATTCATTCATTTCTGTAATAAAGCCCGACTATGTCCATTTCCAACATCCTGCTGCTGGTTAGAAGTCACTATTTTTACGCTCCCAGCCTCTGCTTGGAGATGGGGAGATACACGTATCCCATCAGGCTCCAGGGCTGTCCGCCATGTTGAGTGCAGCTGACGATCGGACCTAAAGTCGTCTGCAGCTGGATTCTGAGGTAAAACTCGCTTGTTTTTCTCACGTTTCCTCTGGTGGGTGTATTTTACGCCAGGCTCGGACCCGGCCCGGTTACTGAGAAGGCTGGTGCTGTTGTTTCCCCGTTCGGAGCGAGTTTGGGACGGTTTTGCGCGGGCGGGAAGGAGGGAGGGCGCCCGGCAGGGACTACTGAAGAAACCTGCGTCAGATTTTCCACAACACGGAAACGCGGGTTTCCTCCGTCTTTCAGCGGCTCCAAGTCCAGGAATTCCCGGTGTTTGGGCGACCCCTAAATCCCCAAATCCTTCGCAGTGACCCAAGTGCCATGTTCTTGTTTTGCGAGGCCCCGATGTCTCTTGTTTAGCCTGTATTTTTGTGTTGGCGGGCGCCGATTTCGGCATGTGAACTACCGTGCGTTTTCCGGTGGGCATTAGTCTTACACACGCAGCCAGGACAGGTGACATCCGGTCTGCATCTGTCCACACCTTTACAAACTCAGGATTTCCTACTACCCTGGTTATAACAGTAATCTACAGAAGATGGTACAACACTACCGGGTCTGTACCGTTGTAATTTGTGTTTCCCTTCCCTGATATTCCCCAGCCTAGGTGAGAATTTATTCATGGCTTGTGAATTGAGATTATGATAAGAAGTGCGAAGAATGGATTAATATTTAAAGGACCTGATAAGTACTATTTGATTGCTAATGCTAGTGTTTCACGGTTGCATACGGTACCTAGGCAGATCATTCACACCCAGTGGTTGGGGCCTGTTTGCTGAGAATGTAGATCCAAGGTAAACATGTAGGTTTTCCAGCCAAGAGCAGGTTTCTACTAAATTCTAGAGATCCGATTCAGGTTCCTCTGCCGACATAGACCAAAAAAACAGGATTAACCAAAATCCAGGTTTTGACAAAATATGATATAAAGAAAATTAAATCAGCTTCTCTTTCCAATGCAACTTCTTACATACGAGAAAAGAACAAGGAAGAGTCATGACTACAATATCACTTACTATCACTCCAGGATTTGGAGTGTTCAGATGTGTGTTTTTTCCTAGAATTGTTATCCTAGAGTGGAACTCAATATCACCAAGCCCCTTAGGGACATTCTTACTGGATAGCTCTAGAGTTGGATGTTAGATGTGCAAATGTGAAGCTGGTAGGTTATACAGAAGGCGGTAATACAGATGCAGATATTGTACAGTCATATTACTGGCTATCCTGAGTTGTGACATGTTTCTGTTGAGCAGGTATACGCAGGTTATACAGAAGGGCAATGATACAGATATTGTACTGTCATCTTGGGCATAGCCAATCCTGAGTTGTGACACATGTTCCTAACTGATAGCATCAAGGCAGCATCTGGAGGGGCTGCCAGGCAGCCATAACTCAGGTGACCTTGTTGGAACTGTGATTGCCCCAGGTGCAGCTTACTGCTGTATGGCTGTTTTATTATGATCATTATAATGGTTTATCAAGAATTATCTCTGACAGGATCTTCTGTGATTTGGTTTTATTCTAGGCAGTTGTCAAAATTACAAATGTATTTGTTGAGAGTAGTTAGATAAAAGTGATATTCCAGCATACCATTACCAGTTTACTTGCTTGGGACTAGCTGTTATATTTAAAGGAGTACTAACCTCCAGAAGGAGGTGCTATATTTCGACAGGCATTTATTTTTGGAAGTGAAAAATGCATATTATTTTACAGTATACAATTAAATGCCCATTTTGTGCGCAAGTCTTAAAACGCATCGAATCGAGGACAAACTCTCCAAATACCCTCAAAACTATCCCAGAATACACCACGCTACCCCATTGGTGTCCATGTTTTAAACAAAAAGTTACGTTACAGACCTCATTTCGGGGGCGATAAGAAAAATTCGTACCGTTTTGTGTTCTTTGGTATCTTACCAACCATTGCCCTTCTTCGTGTCCTTATCGCCCCTCATTTATGCCGCAAATATTGACGATGACAAAAACGGCGTAATCTAGTTATCTTTTTCAAAAGTGGCGTAATCTAATTATCTGTTCAAGTAATACTTACATGCAAATTAGTTGAGAAAATCAAAACACGCAGGATGAAACTGGCGCCCACTGTATTCGACATCCTGATATTATAATATCCAAGCCACAGGTCAAGCAAAGCAAAGCAAGTAATTTCTCAATAATCAGCTTGTTAGTGTGCTTGTCTCCTACCATTTTCGCAAAAAAATGTTTATGTTGACCTGAAGTGTATGAGTATTGCGTAAGCCAGAGTTCCCGGATGTATCAATTGTGGTTCAGCATGGGGGAAAATGATATTAATATCACTTTACAAACACGCGCCGCGCAAGTCGTACAAGCGAAATTATGTAAAAAGTCCGCTAGTTATGTATTCATTGCAGCATGATGTATCGGAAAATAGCACTTCCTTCTGGAGGTTAGAACTCCTTTAATTAAGTGTTACAGACATTTCCAAAACATTCCCTATCGGCAGATGTACATGTAATAAGCCATTGGCAAATCCCTACTCAGAATAACACAAGGAACATGGGAGGGGTTTTCCATAGTTGAAATATTTCAGAGATTCCAGTTTGCTGCAGGGGGGCCGTCATCTTGTTTTCAGAGGAAAATTCCTTCCATATTCCGTATAAGGACCAATAAATAAATAATAACCGTATACAGACGAGTTTCGCTAGAGGATAAAGACTTGTAAATCCGGGATCAGACTGAAAGTAAACAGATTATGAAGCTGTTGATTAACTTGTTATAAAATGGTAATGATGAGTCATAATTTAAACCACAAGCTCAGGAATTCAGGATGTTTTGATGCAATCAGTCTTCTAACTGCAGATTTGCTAGGAATTAGGACAACAGAATGAAAGATAGTAGACAGTAGATATTCTGTTTTGTCCTGCTGGAACAATGTCATTACTAAGTGACATGATGATGATGCATTGATGCAATATGCGATAAGACTATTAAAGTCAATTTATTTCAATGTTTTTTGTATGATCCTGGGGCAGAGGACAGATTTGGGACCACACAGGTAGCTGTTTGGGTTCATATTCAGCTTTGTGCTGGCCTCTCCACTCCTGCCAGTTGGCTGGTGCGTAGTCAGCATTGTGCGTGTTCTCGTATTCTGCATTGTGGTGGCTCCTGGGCTTCTCCAGTTGCTGGTTTCCCCTGACAATAGCGTCACACAGACACATGGAGGTGCTGGACCACCTGGTGGGGAGGGGGGCACCCGCATTGTGTTCTCCATCAGGGGTCACACACTGACCTGTGTCTCACCCCACATTATAAACCAACTGGAGCAAATTAAAGCTAATTCTCTGACAGTTCCAAGGTTCGCTCCACCCCCCCTTCACACTTGCACAGCCACAGGACAGACAAGCAATACGCACAGTCGTGACTGGCATTTATTTTAGCCTGCCAGTTTTGTGAACAATTGCTTTGTTGGTTTATTATGATATTTTTTATGTATACAAAATTACAATATCTGATTTTATCAACATCTGTTGAGCTCTGGTACTCTTTCAGCTGATATGCCAAGAGTTTTTATTTGTATTTCTAATGTTTGTCACATCGATCTATTATTTGTGAGTTAGGGGAAACAACTGCAGTGCATCTGTGTACTATGTATTTGTAGGAATTTCGTTGGTGTGTGTACTACAGATATAAATTGGCATTAGGAGGGTAATTGACCGTACATAACGTCAATAACAAGAAAATTGGTGGCACAACCCCATGCCAGTTTATTTTCTTGGTTCATTGAAATTCCTGATTTACTTCGCTGTGTCTACCCGTGTACTGACTTTCTTTCCATGTTGATGTTTCTGTGCAGAAATTTGTATGATTATATCCAATAACCAACAGATTCCTCTGTTGTGGCCTTATCCAGAGGATTGCTACTGTACATGGATGTTTTGAATGATTGATTATGATTTCCTGCACTGTAAGATTCCGTACATTTGTGTGTGTGTGTGTGGTACCCTGGGAGTATGGAACCGAGTAGATTCCAGGCAAGCTTCCATCCATTTTGTGGCAGACTGTATCCATGTACAGTCTATTTAGGGAATTCCCAGGAATTGGCGGCAGTTCCTTGGGAATGCTGAAGAATGTCGCTGCTCCTCCAGGCTTCGCAATCTTATTTCCATTCGGAGGATTCCACAACCAAAGGCATTAATTTTCCACACCAAAGATCTTACTGTGATGGGCATGGGCGATTTGGGATTCCCAGTCTCTCAAGGCTGGAAATACCACATGTAAATCTCAGCTCTACTGGGCTGTGGGCTGTAGGTAAGATACATTACTGATGCTGAGACAAATGTGAGAGGGTCTGTGTTTGCAGAGGCTTATACTTGTAATTATTGCTTGGATGAACAATGTTTGCTTAAAATGGAAGGATAGAATTCTTGAATTTCACTTGAAAATTTAGAGGAATCTTACTGATCACCAGAATAGCAGGAAGAAATTATGACTAAATGTTATTTCTATATTTAGTTATTTATATGACATCTTTATTTTTTTACAGTATACAAATATTTTTTGGTATCTTGCTCAATTTAGTTTAGCACGGATTTTGAACATTGTTGAACAAAAAAATCTCACCTGAATCCATGCAATGCATTTGAGACAAGTCATTTAGCCAAAGAAAAGGTTTAGAATCCTACAGTACAAATGTATAATGTAGGGTACAAAATGCATTTCGAGTCATGTATGTCACTCTTAATCAAATGACACATTAATGATAATTAGGTAAGTGATGATAGAGCATGCTGACATGTGGATGGACTGTTTGTTTTTGTTACGGCCTGTGCATAAACTGTTGGCTCAGAAAACAAATCAAAGTGGGACACAATAACAGAACTGTGATGAACTGCTAACTCCAGTGGATGAAACTGCCATCATGGCCAGGAAATATGGGGCTGCCTGGTGGGAGTGGGACCACCTCTAACACTAACAGTCTCACGGGATCATGTAAAATATAGAAATTGGTGTGATGAGATTATGGAGGCAATAATGGGGTTCTCACCA